AAACTTTCTACTGAAAAGATTTGTGTGAGGCATCTTAGAAGGATATTAGGTAGAACTTCATGACCTTCCAAAGAAGGTTTCCCTTCCAGCTAAAGGGAGTGAGTGTACTTGTCCAGTAATGGTTTCACTACCTGGATGCAGTTCTCCCGAAGATCTCATGAGACAAGCATGTGCTTTGCTCTGATTTACTGCCACGATGTGCACACACTGTCCGCTCTAGCTCTTGCTCCTCTCTCTGCTACTCCTGTCCCAATAAAGCAGGCTTCTGTATACACCTTTGTGCTGGGCCTCTTTCTTCGTGGCCTTTTACTGGTGTTTGAATTCTTGTCAAAGTAGCTTAGGTGTGCCTGTATCCTTTTCCTCTTAGCTGCAGGCCTGGAAGTTATTCTTTCAATCTTCCACTATTCTGCTTTTCTCTTCACAAAGGATTTCAGCTTTGCCCTGAGCTTTAGGTGGTAAGAAGCATCAAATTAAAACGGAACGTTTTAGCATAGACCCGTTCTGAGCTAGTCTGAAAATCATATTTTTCAGTATAAAGCCAACTGTTTTCACATGCCAAGTATAGTAAATTAAAGCTGATTTGTAGGAAAAATGCACTACAAGTGAAGTCTCTTTGGGCTGGAATAATCTAGCCCCAAATTCTATAGACGAGCAGTCTCCCCAGAAACGTAGTAGGGGTTGCCCACCCTTACAGAAAGGTCAAGACAAGATGCAATGGCTTCATTTTGTACCTCTGTGTGTAGGAATTCAGTGCAAGTGAAATGTATTTATTTCACAGCTCCAGCGATGAAAGAGTAGAGCACAGAGTAAGTTTTTCCTGTGCTTCTTTTCTGACCAGATGAGGATTCTTGAACCTCTGCTTCTTTCTCTTTCCTGAGACTAGAAACCAGCCAGTAGTTTGGGTGGCTGTGGTTAGTTTTTAATAATTAAAACTGGAGGGTTTGGATGTTCCCAGTCACAAAAGGCTGAAATCTTTGTGAGCCCTTGGTTCCCCAGAAGCATTCCTGACTTGCAGGAAAAGGGAGGGGGTGCGTGGAGGGAGCCACTTAGATGCTGTGCAGATAGAGCCGTGTGCTAAGTTCATGCTATCCCTGGGGGCCGAAGTCCCTTTCTCACCCTTTCTCTGCATTCTTGACTGCAGTGCAGCGCAAGACCTGTGCAGCAGCTTGTCTCTGCTGCTGGCTTGAAAGCTAAAATCTGTACCACATCTAGCAATGGATTTGGTGAGCTGGAGCTAGACCTTATCTGCCCGGAGCACCTTGCTGGCTGCAGGCTGTTGAGGTAAAACCAGACACTGTCCCTAATGCAGGAATGAACGCAAAAGGCATGGCCCATCAATAGGCTGCTTGATGTGGGCCTGCCTGTGCACGCGAGGCGAGATCTTCACGGCGCACGGGAAGCAAAGTGGGTCTATAAAGGCGAGCAGTGCTGATACTCTGTGATATTCGTGCCTGTAACAGAAACAGAAAAACGTCTGCTGAAAGGAACTGGAGGGACAGGCCGAGAGCCACTGGGGAACTTTTGGAGAGGCTGCGGTGTGCCAAAGGCTTTAGGTATAGTTGCTATATAGAGAGACACTCTGTGTGTGGCATATGTGTCCCTCCCAAGCTCACTCTTAAAATGCTGCTGGCCTTGGATTTGCATCGTCTCTGCCCAGGACTTACCACAACAAAATGATGGATCCGCAATGTAGTTCTTTCCTTGCCTTGCTCTCTTAGGTTTTTCTTTTTCCAGGTAGCTCTCTTTCCACACCTACCTGTCCTACACCACCTCTGGTTTTAGTGACTCCTCTCTGAGCTCATCTTGGCAAGGCTCTGCTGTTAGGCTTACACCCCTTGACCCAGTTGCTCTCTCAGGAAGCCTACCCAGTGGCCTGGTAATCTTGCTGGGCGTCCTTAGGCACTTTATAAAAACAAGCCCATCTCCAAGCAATAACCGCAGCATTTTTAACTAAAATCCTTTCGGCTGCCACTGAAGAGAGTTCCCTGCTGAGAGAGGGAAGCCCCAAGCCCTCGCCCCTCCAGGCTCTCTGCTTTAGAGTTTATTTGCCAGTTGCAGTCAAGGCTACAACTGGGCCTTCCGCCTCGGCTGAGCGCGCGCGGTGGAAATCCTCTCTGCCGCGGCGTGCCTGTCCCCTGCCCCCTGCCCCTTCGCCTGGGCTGGGGCAGCGCGGGCAGCGCCGCTTCCCTGCGCGGGAGAAAGGAATTGCCTGAAGAATTCCAGAGTGAAACACGATCTCCCGGCTTCCTGCTGCAGCGCTGGCTCCTTCTCCGGGATTAGACGGTGGCGGCCGGAGGCTTTACATTGTTGTGTTGCACACCAGCTGAGGCGGTGCCAAGCAGCCTGGCCTCCTCCTCGCCGAGGCCACAGGCAACCTGGAGCCTTGCTGCTTCGGGTTCGCCTCCGTCTGGCGTCTGATTAAAGACCCTGTCACTGTAGTTCAGCCCAGGAGTTCAGAAGGGGGAAGCCCGTCTGATGCATGGCCTCATACAGCTTCGTTTTAGTGGGATGTTTCCAGCCCTCCTCCCCCCACCGCCACCTCCTGTAGAATAGGTCATAAAAACTTCATCCTTGGGGGGGTGAGTGTCCTCTGGTATTTAATATGAGATCCGTGGGGGAAGAAATGCCTGTCTGTGGGACTATCCCTACCACCACTCCAGCTGCTGGTCTTTACATGGCAGGGAACTTTTCAGCTCTTTATTTAATACTTAGAGCAGACTTAGTCTCCCCCTTTAGCTGACAGTGCAGCTCAGCAACCACAGACTAGCACGAGCAGTGCCAGAACAAGCTCTTCCCTGGTCCCTGTCTGCTCCTCAGTGTCTGCAGCCTGTTCAAGCGCTGCCCCTCTTCTGAGACCACCTCTGCAAAAAAAAAAAAAAAAAAAAAAAAAAAGAAGGGCAGGGGAAAAATCTAGTGCTGAACATGAGCGGAAGGAGGAAGAGGCTCATGATATGAGGCACTTGCTCACAGGCACCAAGACCCCTAATTAGCTCAGTGATCCCCAAATACCCCTGAGATGGCAGAAGCCACTTTGGCCTGGCTTTTATTGCTAGTTCTCAGCCCAGGTTCATAAACAGCCCCAAAGACCAGATGCCAGAGGGGAGGGAAAGGTGTTCAAGCGTTCTTCGTTCTGCCCCCCCGTTGCCATCAGCTGCAAGGCTCGGGGGCTTACGTCGAGGCTGGCACGTGCAGAGGTGGAGGGCGAAGGGAAGATGTCTGCCCGCCGGCCAACGCAGCAGAGGGCAGAGCTGGCCGAGGAGTGAAAGCCCCAGCATTGGCGCAACTTGTACGCCAAGGTCAGGTTGAGAGAAGCAGTGCAATAGCAGAGCCCAAAACATAAACAAGTTAGTCCAGCATGTGCCAAACAAAGAAGTACTTCTTTCTCCCTCTGTGCTTTTCCGTGCTCCTTGGCTGCCCTGGAGCCCTGTGTACAAAACAGCAGGAGATACAGGGTGGTCTGTAGCGGGCAGGTTCAGCCGTGCTCCTTCCCATTCCCTCTGCTGTGGCTCCTGGGGTCTGACCTAGTGGGTATGTCCTTTGAGCTTTCTGGGGCTTGTCTCTTCAGTGTTCTCCTTCAAACATGTCACTCTAATGACAGCTGCTCAGCTCAGCACCATCTTGGACACGAGGGAGCTCATCTAGGTGTACCCCGAGAGCTGAGACTGTTGCTTGGCTCTGACATCTTCTTCAGTGAGGGTAAAATTTTTGTTTGCAATGTAAACAAACACTAATTTCCATAGATTTTTGCCAAATGAAATGTTTTCTACAAGATTCAGGATAACCTGAGCAGCAAAAATTAACTCTCCTAGGAAGGTAGTGTTTGACCCGCTCACCAGTCATTTTGCTTGGCAGAAATACGTATTTTAGTGGAACAAAAAAAAAAAAGTCACATTCCTCAGCACTTAAGCAGTGAAAGCTCTCTGGGCAGCTCTTCAGCAGGGTGGGGGGATCAAGAACAACTCCTTTTGAGAGGCTGAGCTACAGAGCTGGTATCGGGCAGCCTCAGTTGCATTGCCAGCTTTGCCGCTGCCTCGCTGTGACAGTGCGACTGCTTATCAGAGATAGCAGATGAGGAGCCTTGCAACCTACTGACCCTTTGGTGCATCTAAAGCAGCGCAACTTGTCTAGTGCTGTTCAGCAAACTTCTTTGGAACGGAAGCTGAGGATGAGATCAGAGTATTAGAGGGCTCTGTAGTTTTCTTCCTCCTGAGGAAAAAGCCTTTCCCCGTGTCCCCTTCTTGTACAAACTGATGCTCCTTCGGTACCTCCCTTCTGGCAGTCTTCCCGTGCAGCTCTGCGCCGTCGCTCGTGACCCTCGCTGCGGTGCTGGGACCTGTTGGTGTGTCTCGGAGATCCCTCAATGAGCAGGCTGAAGAGCGTGTGCATGGAGCGGTGGCTTCCCTACCAGAATCACCTGCCACGCAGCAGAAACACAGGGCAGTGAGCGGACATGCTCTTGCACCCTGGGGGTGGACTGCAGTCCCAGGCAGCCGTGGGGGGAGACTCTGGCGCTGGAGGTGCCGTGCTGCGGCACTGTTGCTGCTACGGGCTGGGTCTGAGCAGGGAAGTGGGCCCTCTGTGGTTTTTTGTTCTCTGAGGTGTATTGTTTCGGTCTGGGGGAAGCGCTTGGCTGGTTGGCAGGGTGATTTTTCCTCTGCAGTCTCCCCCCAGGAGAATAGAAAGCACAGAACAGCCCCAAGTGCTGCACCTTGCCACACGTTACCTTTACCGGTGTGTAGGTTACCTTGGGCTGCGCGAGGTCAGAGACTACTCCTAACCCTGCATCCTTTCTGCTGCTTCCCAGCACTCACTGGAGATATAAGCAGGAATTTTTGACTGTCTAATCAGTTCTGGAGGAGGAGGAAAAAAAAAACCCATCTTTTGGTTTGGTGAGTTAGGTAAATATCCCGGAGTTCAGGTGCACGAACCAGCAAAGAAATGAAAATTGGGAGCTTGCTATCAGGGATTGTGACTTGACTTTAACTTGGATTAACTATTTATTAACTTTTAATTAATATCAGCAGGGTGCTGTCTCCCTCCTGCATCTGTATGGCTTTGTAAAAGCTTTTTCTAGCTCAAGACAGGGTTGAGCTAAGTCAAAGGGAGGAAGTCTGGTGCATGAGGGTCAGTGAAATGAAGAAAGGGGAGAGAGCAGATTGAGAGAGGATACATGTCCTCAGCAGAGGAAGGACAAGGTGTGGAGCAGCCGGCTTGGGTGCTACTTCATTTCTGGAGGCTGGTGGGCAATACATGGGAGCAGTGAGGTCGAGACAGCAGCATGCAGAAAAGGAGGGCAACGTATGGGTAGGATCAGGCAGAGTTTTGATGGGATTGGTGGAATGGGGTGCTGGGGAGACAAAAAGGCCTAAGCTGCATGTCGGAAAGGTGTCAGGTAAATGCAGCAGCTCCTGCTGGAGATTCCTGTTTGCCTTTCGACTGGCAGGACCACTCCAGCCATCTCTTTGTGTTTCACCTACTTTGAATGTGCTTGTTTTCTTCAAAGACAGCATGCCTGTGCTGTGCTCTGCCTCTGTATATCCATTATGTCTGCTTCCTGGCAAAGGCAAACCTGACCTTGACACACACATGTGGTTCCTTCTCCCCTTTTAGCAGCGTCGCCCGTAAGCTGAAAAGCTGGCCAGCACAATGGGAAAAAAGCAGAACAAGAAGAAAGTGGAAGAGGTCTTAGAGGAAGAGGAGGAGGAGTATGTGGTGGAGAAAGTCCTGGATCGGCGAGTAGTAAAGGGCAAAGTGGAGTATCTGCTGAAGTGGAAAGGATTCTCGGAGTAAGTGCTTCCATGCATGCCGTGTCCAGAGGACTGGTGCTGCGGGGGTGGGTGCTGGGCTGCTCCGACATGAGGTTGGGGGTCATGTGTCTCTTCTGCTCATGGCTTCCGAAGCTCAGAGCAGGTGGCTTAGTGCCCCTGCGCCTCTCTCCTTGTCTGCAAAATGTTGCTAACAGGCTAATGGCAGCCATAATAATAAAAGCAGCAGTACCAAATGTATCAAGCTCTAAAGCACCAGTTCTGTGTGTGTACAGCCTAGGCGAGAAAGCCCTGTGTCCTGCCTTGCCAACAGGTCGTCCAGGGCGCTGGTCCCGTGGACTTTGTCCCCTCTAACCTAGTACGAAACAAGTAGCCAGGTAAAATGATATACATTTCTGTCCTGAGAAGGGAAATAACTCTGCTCTGTCTCTGGTCCTCCTGTCCAGAGCAGGGCGGGGAACTGTTTCGTGAGGAAAGGACACCAGCATCTAGACTTCTGCTTCTCTCGGCATCTCTGCGTGGCCTGGTGTCTGGGACTTTTCTTGGCAGTGAAAGCTGCAGCGAGCTCTCCTTATGTAAAGCTAATCTGTTGTCTTTGATTGCAGTGAAGATAACACGTGGGAGCCAGAAGAGAACCTCGACTGCCCGGACCTCATTGCAGAGTTCCTTCAGTCCCAGAAAACTGCACATGAGACAGAGAAGTCTGAGGGAAGCAAACGCAAAGCGGAGTCTGATACAGAGGATAAAGGGGAAGAGAGCAAACCAAAGAAGAAGAAGGAGGAGGTGAGGCAGGCTTGATAGGAGGGGATTCTCTGTTCACCTCTCTCCTCCCTGTTTTTGGCACAGTGTCAAGCAGTAGAGCAGCCACACTCTAAAACCTTAGTCAAACAGTTCTGCATAGAGAGAAGAATATTCCAATTCAGTGAGGCACAGCTGAAGTGCTTTTGAAAAGCACTAGCTCTCTAGAGCAGGGATTAGGTCTTCTCTGAGCCAGATCTCCTAGTAAATCTACAGCCAGTCCTAGGATTAAATTGAAAAGAACAGTTCTTTATCCAAAAGGGTGTGCAGCCCCTAGAACAATGAAAGTTGTGCCACAACATCTCTTGAGTAATTGCACAAGGGAAGAAAAAGAGGGCAGGGGTTGCCTGTTGCCCCTTGAAGAGGGGGAGCAAGGTGGAACAGAGAGCCTCCTGCTCGGGGTGCTCTTGGCTGCTTGGGAAAAGGGCCCAGAAAAAGGCTCTGCAGTCTTTTTTTCACCTGAGGAGCTGCTGAATCATAGCCAGCACAAACAGCTTGACCCGCAGGGCCCTGGGATGGAGCAAAACCACAGCCTTGGAAATCAGCTCCTCTGCTCACAGCATGAGGGGGGCGCTCTGCTGTGCTCTCCCTGGGGCCTGGCAGGAGGTCACCGCAGTGCAGCGGGTGTAAACACCTGAGTGGTCTGCTCAGGTGTCCCCAGGCGTTAGCTCACATCCGCTATGCCGGGCCTTTCTGTACTGTCGTAGCGAACGGAAACAGGGCCATGACAGCCACCTTTGATGCTACAAGTGGAAACTTGTCTCTTTCAGTCGGAGAAACCGCGAGGCTTTGCCCGGGGGTTTGAGCCAGAGCGGATCATTGGTGCCACGGATTCCAGCGGGGAGCTCATGTTCCTGATGAAGTGGTGAGTGTGTCTTTGTGTCTGTCACTTCTTCACTTATTCTGTGCCAGAGAGGGAAGGACCTGCGCCTGGGGAGTCCCTGCTACCTGGCATGAAATCTCTTGCGATGGCGCTGCTGCCTGAGGTGACCCTCTGCGCTGAGGCTAACGTGGATGTGAAACGAGCAGGTAGGGCCCTTGGGATTGCGTGGCTCTTAAGATGTCCCCCCGCAGCAGGCGCGAGCTTGGGGAGAGAGAGGGGCATGGTGTCATGGCGCGGGCCTCAGGTTCGGAAGGCTGCAACCCAGAGGAGAGCCATGACGATGACCGCGTCCCCCTTCGGCTGTAGCGAAGCAGGGCTTGTCGCTGGCGCAGGTGGGAGCCAAACCAGAGTCAGGCATAGGTGTGGGAGTTGTTTGTTTTTGCACTGTCTCAGAAGTATAGAATGGCTGCGGTCAGGGCTGCAGCTTTGATTTGGCTTCTCTTCCCCATCCCTTACAACCCAGCGCTCAACTCACGCCTGAATTTTTGCTGGGTTCATGTACTCCTTCTCCCTGCTCCAGAGCCACTCGGGGGGGATCGCTTGGAACCCCCAAACGGCTCAGGGATTCCTCCGTTTACCTGCTGCTGCTCAGTTTTCTCCGGTCTCCGTTTCTTCCACCTCCCCTCTGCAGCCCCCTAACTTGCACCTCTGCTCTGGCCTGTAGGAAGAACTCTGACGAGGCCGACCTGGTGCCTGCAAAGGAAGCCAACATCAAGTGCCCCCAGGTGGTCATCTCATTCTATGAGGAGAGGTTGACATGGCATTCCTACCCCTCAGAGGATGATGACAAGAAAGAGGACAAGAACTAACCCCTGGCACCCGCTCTGGCCAGCCTTTGTATAAAGATCTGAACTGTGGGTTTGAGCAAGAGGGAGAGAACGCAGCTCTACTCGGTTGGGAGCGTAGAGATGGCTGGAGAAGATGCCCTTTGAAGAGACCAGTATGGTTTCTGTGCCCTGCAGCTGCTCAACTGCTCTATGCAGCTTCATGCTGTGTACAGATTCAAACCAGCCCAGCTTGATTGGGGGGAGGGAAGGGCAGGGGATATCGGGATTTGGGGGGGTGGGGATGTTTGTTTCAAGGCTGTCCATTTTGCAGCTTGTGGGAGAGGAAACAAAACCCCTTCCATGAAGGACTATCACTGGTGATGGGTGGGCTGGGGAAAGGGAGTGCAGATGGATACTGCTGCTTCTTCAAAGACCATCTCGGCAACCCACAGCCTTCTTCCCAATAGTGTTAACTCTGCATTTTTACAGCGTAGCATGTGTGTAGGTTTTTTTCTTTTGCTATTTACTTTTGTATTGGTTTGGGGGGCTGGGGGGAGGGATGTGGGGGAAACAGGTCTCTTGTTTCATTGGGCAGGGAGGGAGGGAGGGAGGGAGATGAGGTCTGGTGCCAATGTTCCAGATCATTTCCAGATCTTTTTTAGAAGCTGAATTCAGAAAAACAAAAAAAGCCCAATACTGATGACAGAACTAGGGAGACAGGGACACTGATATGAGACTGAAACTGTGAATGTCCAAATCTCTGGAGCCAAGGTCCTCAAAACCCTGAGAGCAATTTTTATTGGGGGGCGGGAGGGTGACGGGAGACTTGTGAAAATGCAAACTTGTGATTCGTATTGTCCTGAAACAGAACTGCCGGTTACTGACACATGCATTGTATATGGGAGGGTGGGCTTCAGGGAGGGAGTGGATTTTAACCCCTTAAAAGCCTTTCTACCCTACTTTCCGTTATAAGGTGCTATTTCTCAAAATTAGGGGGAGAGAGACTTCTGACTACTTGTTCGTTTTCTCACCTCGATTTGACTGTCCAGCCAGCAGCTTTGGGAACCCTTTAATTGTGTCACGTGGGAGGGAGAGGAAATCAACAACAGCACAAGAAAAATCAATTCCATGTTCTTACATTACAAGTGATTGTTTGTAGAAGACCAGATTTTGGCGCTGGAGTCGGATGTGTTACCCTGAATCTTCTGAGTTTTTTTTTAATCAGATTTATTAAAAATACTGAACTATTTAATGTCTGGAGTCGTGAGCCCCACCAGACTCCTGGCACCTCCTTGTAGGGTGGTATGTATCTAGACTTGCATTGTACAAACCTTTTTTTAAAAGCATGTGTTTAGGTTTCTGTGAAAACGTTGTTTAAATGTAAAGTACGTGTTTGGATTTTAACTTCATACCAAGCTCTGTCAGTTTTTTGTCTCAATAAAATTTTAGATTTATAATCTTGATTTTTTTTTTCTTCTCTACTTTGCTCCTTCCTCCAGCTCTTTGTGCATGAGATCAGTGACGAGGTGTAGAGCGGGTCGTGGAGGGAAGTTAGCCTGCGCTTATGGTTCATTGTGAACGAGGTTAGATCTGATGCAGCCCAAGTTAGCCGATGTCACTGATCTAGGTGTCGACAGCAGCAGGAGCTTTGGAGCAGCTGACGGAAGGTTCTCGTTTGTTTTGACTTCCATCTGAAGAGGAGGAGTATCGTGGAGGTTAGTGTCTAGAGGCCTGAGTCAAGCCTTGTTCCTGGAGACGAGAGGACTAGCTGCGAGTTGGGACCTTGGTTGATGTAGCAAGATGCAGCTTGAGCCGGGCGTGTGCACTGCATGTGTTCCTAGTCCAGGATCCGACACCAAACTCACCTGTGACATTGGGTAAGTGACTTTTACTTCGATTGTCATTTGAATGTTTAGCAGACTTTGTCACTTTACATTTGTGGACCTTTGGCTACCCACAGTATCAAGTTTTTAAAGTTCTGGCGATGATTCTGGTGGCTGTTTAAGTGAGGTCATTTCCATCTTTAGCCACAGTTCTTGCTATGGCCTTGCTGGAAGGCCACAAACTCTCATGTATGAAGAAAATAAACCCTGTCTCCTCTGCTCTGTCCATCAACACTTTGTACAATCGTACAGATGGACTGTAGCAACTTCTGCAGCAGAGCCCACGTAGCAGCGGTCAAAAGTTTGCCTGAGAGGTGGGTGGCAGTTGCTGGCTCGCTGGTTTGAGCGTTCCCAGATAGAAGCAGTAGGTTATTGTGTGGTGTTCGTCACCAAACGGGGGCCCCGCCAGCCCCTCGCTAACGGTTATCGAGTGCTGCAAAACTCTGCAGCCAGTTGAAATCCAGGTTATTCGTAACAGTGCAGCCTATACCCAGAGGTACAATGAAATGTCTTCCCTGCCCCAGCAGCCAGCAGAAGCAGCAATTAAACCTGTATTAATCACTAGAGATGGAAGGAGTAACGTCCACTTAATTGAACATAAGAAGGCTGCAATTCCGTGAGGAGGCTCCGGGGAGATCGACCAGGGCAGGTAGCTGGAAGATGTGCGTTGCTAGATCCTGGGGGTGGGACTGCAGCCTCGCGGAGTACGCGGGGCTCCTGCCGTGTGTGAGTCCTGCCGCGCTCTCGAAGTAGCAGGTCCAGCCCCGCAGTCGGGGCAGCAGGCATCGGAGCCCTCGGTAGCGGCCGTCTCCGGCCTTGGCACTGATGAGAATTCTTTCTCCCGAGATGAGAAACTAAGTCACGGGAAAATAGTCTCACTCTTGTAAAGAGCTCAGAGATCCCCGAGTGAGCTGTGCCTCGCAGGTGCAGCGTGGCAGTCCTCCCTGGCCTCCGCGAGCTGGGCTATCGCTCCAGGCCGGCGGCTGAGGGGAGCGACGGCCGGCCCGCCGCGAGACGGCTCGTGCCCAGCTGTCTGACCTCTGCGCCGAGGAGCAGCGCAGCAGCCGGACGCTTGTTAAAAAGGCCGTTCCACCGCGGCTCTTGCCGAGATCATAGACACGGGGCCCTGCTGGTGGCTAAGTGCTTCCTGCCTTGGAAAATGAAAGGTCTGCACTTCACCTGATTACAGGCTGGCAGGCAGCCTGCGCCTCTGACAGCGCATGGCATGACATGGAAGTGACAGTAATGTAGGTAAGGAGCTGTTTAAGCTCCCATCTTGCCTGCCCCTCTTGCTACCTGCAAAGGCTGGTGCCGGCTGCCCAAAGCGGGATGTGACAGGCACAGGCAGGGAGCCAGAACTGGATGGATTTTTGTCAGGCTAATTTTTGTCTTGCTCTTGCTGCTCTGAGATGTACCAGTGTTGGAGGCTGGAAACAGCTCTGTGGTCACCTGTAGCCTGCCAGACACAGGGCACCGGGGCCTTCGTGTTCTGCATGTGCGAGCAGGGACACGTGTGATCGGAGGAGCGTAGATACGAAGTGAAAGATCCCATTCTGCGGGAGAGCAGCAGCAAAGGGACTTGGAGCTGAGCTCTGAAAGGAGCCGTGGAGAGCAAGCCCTGATTCTGCCTACTTGGAAGCTAGAGCCCTGGTAGAAAGGTGTATCCTCCTCCCTCGAGTCTGCGTGCCCTCTGGGCCAAGTTTTCCTTCTCTCAGTTGGGAGAGGGGGGATCAACTCCTCTGGGAGGGTTGTAATGTTCTCGTAGCATCACCAGGGCAGTTGCAAGTCTTGTGGGTTTTGCAAGCCAATATAACGTTCTAAAACAGCCCCTGAAGTAACAGCAGAAATAAATACCCTAGAGCCCAGGAAGAGAGACTGGAGCCACCTTGGAATACGCATTTTAATGCTTCATGTTCCCTTTGGCTGAGCTGTTATCGTGTGTGGAGCTATCCTGGGCTCAATTCCCAGCTAACAGCGGGAGCAGATAAACTCTTCCAATCCCGTAAGAAGAGATTTCAACCTTGAGGAACCTGTACTGGGTGGGCCGTTGCAGCCCTTTGACCACCTGGTGCAAGGCAAGACTTTGCTTCTTCCAGTGAAGGCAAGGCAAGGCTGATCACGTGCTTTCTGCTTGCTCTCCTGGTACAGCCAGTATGTGCCAGCATCTGGCCGAGGAAGGTGTCCCAAGTCCAGTGGGGCCAAGGTCTGCCTCAGCCTCGGCTTCCTTCCTTTGCCCCCCCGGCCCTTTCCCCCAGTAGCTTGTCACCCAGAGGTCCAGGCTTCTCTTCATAGGCTCTATTAACTAAATAATTGATTCAGGGGTGCAAGAAGTGCTGCATAATATTCATACCCCGCTAGGGGCCAGGTGAGAAAACGCAGAGCCTGCAAGCAGCTAGTATCAATGAGGTGGTGGGTATAAGTGATGCTAAGCCATAAGGAAAGCATCCTGAAATGCTTCTTTCTGCTTTAAGTGCAACTGTTCATCTACCCGCTGAAGCTCCTGCTGATGCATCAGTAGCTCCCAAGACTAGTTTTCCTTAGTGGTTTTCTTTCATAAAGAGCAGAAGGTCAGACAAGCTGTGAGTAAAGTCTTCAGCAGGGCCCACGGTCCTTCCGGCTGGACGGGGAGGCTTTCGGCAGCAGCCTGGTTTAAAAGCAGCCAGCTTGCGCCCAGTAGCTGCTTGCTGGCATCTCTGCCCGGCCTGCCGGCCTGCTCCGACAGCTCGGGCTGCTCCCCGGGCAGAGCACAAACGTTTATGTAAAGCAGCAGTAAAGCCGGTGCCTGCCCTTGAGACTGGCTGGGCATTAACGGAGCAGCAGGACCCAAAAATGATTAGCCCTGCCTGGGGAAAGGGCTGCAAACAGCGGGTTCAAGCCGTGCCCGTCCGTGGGCTGCGTGGCAGGAGCGAGGGGCTTAGCAGTGTTCATCCCTCCAGGCATGAAGAGCTGGTTCTCCGCGCTCCTGCCAGGCTTGCCTGGGCCTAGTCCTTCAGCGAGGGGGGAGGCAGGCGCTAGCCTGCAGCGCATGATATAAATATACCCATGATTGAGTAAACTTTGGCTCTGTAACCAACGCTACAGCCTAAACCTGTCAGGAAGGTGGGGCTTGTGTAACATAGCAGCAGCACTGGCTTGAGCTGCAAGAGGAAAAGGGTTCTTGTATTTTTTTTTTATTTATTTTTTCCTCCTAGCTGTGCCGATGCCATTTGCTTGCCCAACAGGAAAGCAGGCCGTTGAGGGCTGGCTCCAAAAGTGTAAGCACTGAGCAGGGCGGCCAGGCTGTGCTGAAGCACATCTGGCCACTGCTGCTGGCAGGACCCAGGCTGGCTCCAGCCATGGCCCTGCCCTGTATCTGCAGCAGGTTTGGAGGTTGCTTTGGCCGACAGACCAATAACTT